AAAAAGCTGGCTAGTCATGTTTTTTGAAAGTTTCATATTATAAAAACCAAATAATTAATTTGTATAGTTTTAAAATTATTGTACCTTAATTTTTGTCCATGTATCTGGTGTAGGTATTAAATTTTGAATTTCATCATGATTAACAGCTAGTATTCTTAATACAGATTGTATTCGTAATATTTTATTCAACATATAGTAAGTACTATTCTACTTAGTTACAATATTTAGTTCTGGTTTTAGATAATCTAATTTTTGCACATTATATAGCTCCTTTAATTCATCGCATAAGACTATTGATTCTTTGATCTTTGACATTAATGTACGAATATTAACAATATTTTGATCAACAATTTCTAGTCTATGATATGTAGCTAAATTTAAAATATAGATGCTATATCTGTAGTAATGAAAGGTTTAACAATCTAATACTTCCTGCAAATTATTTGCTAAAATACATCTACAGACCAACATTGCCGACTCATTATTAGTGGTAAGTGCCAATGTTTTATTTACTAGATTAAATTCTACAAGGACATCATTAATTGCTGTTGCTATATTTGCATCTAGATGTTGGGTTATATTTCAAAAGTTACAAACTATACTTGCACAAAATTTTATAAAATTATAAAAAATTATAGTACCACATTTTTGTAGAATAATGTGCAGAGTCTTATTTTAAATTTTATCCTGAATTAAGCTTAATTCAAAACAAAATTCAAAACTACACCCTGTGCATTATTTTTTATAAGAAGACTTTTGTATGATTGGTTGTTTAAATCAATTTAATTTTACATTATTTATATAGTTTAAAGTGTTTTTTAAAAAAAATAAACCTACAAAAAAGAAGTATATAGAATCCAGTATTAAAAATAATCAAAATCATTTCTGGTTTTAAAGAAGTTAGCATAATAGCAATCTCTTAAAGATAGATAGAATTAGTTATTACTATGCTAATTTCTCTAAAACCAGAAATGATTTTAATTATTTTTAATACTGAAGTTCTATAACCCTAATAAAACTTTCTATATACTTCTTTTTTGTTTATTCTTCATAGTTTTTTTTTTTTAAAAAAATACTTTAAACTATATAAATAATGTAAAATTAAATTGATTTAAACAGCTAATCATATGAAAGTCTTCCTATAGTATTATTTTACAAAAATAAATAATTTTATAACCTTACCTGTATGACGTGTAGTAAAGAGGACAATATCTAACAGAAATCGATGAAATACCTATTGCTGATCTATATAATGAATCATAATACCAAGAAAAGCATCATTATTAATAGTTAATGTCCATATATCTGAAGTTAAAAAAACTTTTCCTGGGAGTTACTGCAAAATATTAGTTATTTGTGTCCTTTGCTCATTAAAGTAGCTAACAATCATATTCTTAACCTGACGATATTTAGGAATTTTGTAGCGTAGGTCAAACATATTTATTAATTCAAGAAATTTTTTGTTTTCAATAACACAAAATGATTGTTGATCTACAATAATCCAAGTGATTAAAGCTAGATCACGTTCTTTTTTTTGTACTTCAGACTATAGATTATTACAAACAAAAGGTAATTTTGTTTGATAGCATTTAATCTTTGGAATGATGATATTATGTTAACTACTCAAATGCTGCTCTAAACTAGAATTACTACTCTTAGATGAAAACTTTTGACTATATTTATTGCAAATAGGAATATTAAGATAGTTAGAGCTAAAGCTAAAATATTGTCACAAAGGTAATAGTTTTCTTGTGTTCTTGATTGAATTAGTAGATATATTTTCATCAGATGTCTGAGTTAATTGGTCATCTAATTCATTATCTTGGTTATAATATTTAGTATTTTTATCATTTTTATCATTTTCAATATCTATCTTTTTTTTTTTCTGAAATCTTCGATTTATTTGCAATTTATATTTAAATAAAAAGGTTTTACAAATTACAAAATATATAATTGATTTTATTTTTATTTTATATTTATTGATTATTTTATTTATTTATCTTTTAATTGAGTGATATCAAAAAAACATTATCTTTTTTGTAACTCTTTTTTAGGCTTTTTATCTGAATATTATCAAAGAAAAGCAGGTAAATCTTGTAAATAATTTCATATTACAAATTTAATGTAAGTATAATTATATATTAGGTGCATCCTTTTTTTAATTATGTCCTATATTTATAAACTTATTTAAAATTTACATTATATGTATTTTAGTAACGAGAAGTATAAATTTTCACGATTTAATATAAGTTAAGCACTATCTTTAATTGCAAATATTACATAAAATAACTTGTTTTAAAGTTTTTTTCTTGGGTTATCTATGATTCAAATAATTTAATCAATGAATATATTATCATATAAATGCAAAATAATGCCTATTTATATATTAATTAATTAACCATTTATGTAATAAGGCTGATTTACTAAATCTAGTATATTATTAATTTGGGATGTTTATAGATATTAATTCAAGACATGCAAAATATTCTGATCTTTAAAATAATGTCTATAGGCATTATTTCACACTTATACAATAGATCGCAATTGATATTATAAAATAGTTTGATTATTATTATACATATAAATAGAGAAATAAATTTTATAAAATACTGAATTTATTAGCTAATATTTTAAAAGTTTTCAAAATTATATA